CTTCAATCTCTCTATGTCTAGTGGCTCCTTACCTGGTGCCTTCAGATATGCCCATGTCTTCCCAGTCCTCAAGAAATTCTCCCTTGATCCAGCCATCCCTATTAGCTATTTTCCCATATCTTTTCTCCCTTTTTTGGCTAAACTCAAGAAGACTGACTACAATTGGTAGCTCAGCTTCTCCTATTCTCTTTCAGCATTCTGTCTTCTGACCTCATCATTCTGTGAAACTACTCTCTCCAAAGATACCAGTGATCTCTTAATTGCCCATTCTGATGGCCTTTTCTCAATCCTCTTCCTTCTAGAGCAGTCTGTAGTCTTTGACCTCTTCTCCTTGATATTGGCTTCCCTCTACATTTTCATGACCCTGCTCTCTCCTGGTTCTCCTCCTACCAGTCTGACCATTCCTCGATTTCCTTTGCTGAATTTTCATCCAGGCCACTGTTATTAACCATGAGTTTTCCCCAACTTTCTTCTCTAACTTCCTGCTTTCCATCTTCTGCTGCACATGTCACCTGAAGGAAGACTGCAAGGGTCTGGCCCAGTCTTACACCTGCCCCAGAGCAACTTCCCCCTTAACCAAGAGTCTTAAGACTTCCTGCTGTATCTCCTGATTTCCAACCTCAGGGGAGACAAAGAGCCAGACATTCCTCCAATTGAGCACCTTCTATCTCCTATCTCTGTTGGGAAGGTGGCAGGGGGACTTCTTTCTGTGCCAGCATGAGGTAACTCCCACCTCCTACTGTCAGCCTGATCTCCCATCCAGGATGTGGAGAACCTTCAGTACACAGAGGAGCAACTTTCCTTTTGACTTCAGACCTTCAATCTCCTGCTGTGCCTGTCCTTTGAGAGAAGAAGAGGAAAAGGAAAGTCAATGGGGAGTGGGGCTTCCTTCTCCTGCTGTGCAGGTTCAACTTTCATCTCCTTTACAGGGGTGGGGAACCTGCAGCCTTGAGGCCATATGTGGCCCTCTAGGTCCTCAAGTGCAGCTCTATGACTGAGTCCAAGTTTTGCAGATTTGTTCCATGAAGTTTGGAATTCAGTCAAAGGGCAGCACTTGAGGACCTAGAGGGCCACATATGGCCTCAAGGCTGCAGGTTCCCCACCCCTGTACTGTTTCCTGCTTAATCTCCAACCTTTAGAGAGAAGAATAGTGAAATGGGGACTCCTATCTAACTATTTGACTCCATTTTCCCCACCACTTGATTCCTGATTTTCAAACCTCTCTACCCTCCTTCTCCACAGTTCACAAGTCCCAAACAAACACCACCCTCTGCTTCCACTGTACCCCCTGGAATGCTTGTTCCATAGGCAATGAACTTCCCTTCATCCTAAATCTTTTCCTCTCCCACTCCTTTCATCTTCTGGCTGCTACTGAAACCTGGCTCTACCCAATGATACAGCCTCCCTGGCCACTCTTTCTGGTACTGGCTGCACCTTCCCTCATTCCCCTCAGTTCACTAGTTGAGTTGGAATACTTCTTCTTTGCTTTTGTTTTCCAGCTTCTCCCTCTACCTCCATCACTCAGTTACCTCTCTTCCTTTGAGGTTCTTGCTGCTCATCTCTATCACCCAATCAAAGTCCTTGAAGCTATGGTCTACAGACTTCCAGGTCATTTCCCTTCCTTCCTCATTGAGTTAGCTCACAATTTTTTTCTTTTCTTGCCAATTCTTGACCACATAGTAGGGGACTTCAACACACACATTTACTGTCTCAGAAACCCTAACCATTCATTTCCTCACCCTCCTCACTTTCCGTGACTTCTCCATTCCACCTCAGCCATGCATAAAGATGGTCATACCCTTGATCTTGCCGTCAGCACAAATGTACCACTTCTTATGTTCAAGAATTCCAAAATCCTCATATCTAACTATAATTTGTTGACTTTCCACCTCTCCCTTTCCATTCCAAACCTTGTTCTTTGTCTACACTATGACCTCTAATCCCTTGACATTTCAGTTCTCTCCTAGGCCACGTCCCCTACACGTCACTCTTTCCCCCATCTTGACCCCTTGGTGAACCAATTCAACTCTACGCTGACCTTTTCTCTTGAGTCCCTAGCCCCTAGATCATTTTATTGGTTGTGCCCTGATAAGCTTCAGTCTTGAATTGCTCCCATCAGCCTTGGATCACTCCTACCATCTGGCCTGCCTTTGCTCCTATACACATACTACTGAACAAAGGTGGAGAAAATCAAGCCACTGTTCTGACTGGGTGCACTACAAATTTTTGTTGCACAGCTTCAACTGGGCGGTTGCTGCTAGACAATCCTATTATACCTCCTTCATCAAATCACTATCTCACTCTCCATAGTAGCTCTTCCAAACTTTTTCATCCCTCTTCAGACCTCTCATGACTCCTTACCTTCTCGTCTGAGAACCTTGCCTCATATTTTACAGAAAAAATGGAGGCCATTAGCTGTGAACTACTCTTCTTCTCTTTCTCATCTATCACTCAGGTGCCTTCTGCCACTTTATCCTCCACCCCTGTCTCATATAAGGTGGCCTTACTGCTTTCCAAGGTTAATAACCCTTCTACCTGCTGAAGGGATCCCATTATATCCTGTCTTCTTTAACAGACTGCCCCCATTACCATTCCCCCTTTTTCAATCTCTTCATGTCTACTGGCTACTTCCCTACTGTCTACAAACATGTTCATGTCTCCCCCTATCCTCAAGAAACTCTCACTTAATCCTTCTATCCCTGATGACTGTCTTCCTTTATCTCTTTTTTCTTTGTGGCTAAATTCCTTGAAAAGGCTGTCTAGAATAGGTGTCTCCCCTTTCTCTTCTCTCACTCTTCTTAACTCCTTATAATTTTGTTTCCGACCTCATAATGTCACTAAAACTACTCTCCAAAGTTACTGAGATCTCTTAATTGCCAAACCCAGTGACTTTTTCTCAATTCTCATTCTCCTTGACATCTCTGTAGCCTTTGACATTATTGATGATCCTCTCCTCCTTGATATTTTCTCTAGGTTTTTAGGACACCTCTTTCTCCTGGTTCTCCTATCAGAATGCTCCTTCTCAGTCTCCTTTGTGGAATCCTAATCCAGACCTCATCTCCTAACTATAGATATCCCACAAGGTTCTGTCATGGGCTCCCTTATTTAAACTACTTCACTTGTTGATCCCTCCAGCTCCCAATAATTTAATTACAAACTCTATGCTGATAATTCTCAAATCCACCTATCCTGCCCTAACCTCTCTGTTTACTGTCCAATCTTGAGTCTCCAATTGCCTTTCGACATCTCATATTGGATGTTCAGTAGACATCTTAAAATCCCCACCCCCCAATCATTCAGCCACCAAAGTGCTTTTCCTAAAGTGCAGATCTGATCATGTCACCCTCCCTACTCAGTAAGGATCAAGTACAGAATCGTCAGGGGTTCAAAGTTCTTCATAACCTAGCTCCCTCCTGCCTTTCCAGCCTTCTTACACCTTGTGCTCATCCAGGTATTCTTTGATTTAGTGACACTGGCCTCCTTATTATTTCATGAACAAAAGACTCCCTATCTCAGCTCTGGGCATTCTCTCTCTGTCTCCTGTGCCTGGAACACTCTCCCTTCTCCACTCTAATTACTCACCTCCCTGGATTTCTTTAAGTCTCAACTAAAATCCCACCTTTTACAGGAAGCCTTTCCCAACCCTCCTTAATTCTAGGGCTTTCCCTCTTATTTATTCCCTATTTATTCTGTATATAGCTTATTTGTATGTATTTGTTTGTTAGTCTCCCCCACTGAATTGTGAGCTCCTGGAGAGCAGCGACTGTCTTTCATCTCTTTTTGTATTGCCAGTGATTAGCATAGTACCTGGCACGTAGTAGGGGCTTAATAAATGTTTATTGGCTGCCTGCTCTCTGTTCAGAGTTCTCTTTTCTCTCTATACTATTTTTCTTGGTGATCTCATCAGCTTCTGTGGATTCAATTTTGCGTGTGCTGATGATTCTCAGATTTACTTACCCAACATTGATCTCCAGTCTCAAATTTCCAACTGCCTGTTGGAAATCTTGTACTGGGTGTACTCTGGACAGCTTAAGCTCGATATGCCCCAAACTGAACTCATTATTTCTTTCTCCCACTCCCAAGTCCTCCCCGATTCCTAATTTTCCTTTTGTTGTCAAGAGTACTGCTTCATCTTGATTTACAAAGTAATTACCTCATAAAAACCCTGAGAAGTCAGAGAATCATAGATGTGGATCTTCAAGGGACCCCAGAGGCCAGATGGGAAGAAGTCCAGGTTCTCATTTTATAGTTGAGGAAATTTCAGTCCCAGAGAGACTATGACTTGTCCAAGGTAGTAGATACAATGTAGAAAGAACTGATTGAGGGATTTCAGGCTTGTCAAGTGCTTTCTGTTCATTATCTCTAATGATCTTCACAATCCGAGGCTTGGATTGATTCTTTTCTTGGTTACTTACTGCCTGAAAGATCTTGGGCAGGTCACTTATTTTCTTGGACCTTAGTTTTAACATGAGAGTTGAACTAGAGGATCTCTAGGACCCTACTAGATCTCTCCCCCGCCCCTTTTTTTTACAGATAAAGAAACACTCTCAGAAGGGGAAGTGACTTGCCAGAACTGCTATTAAACCTTGCTGGGTTTGATATCCAAGGACCTCCGACTCCAAGAACAGTGTGCTTTTTTTTTTCCTTCTCCCTACCCTTGCTCTTCTTCTGTCCAGAGAATTAGTCCAATTAAACTTGTTTTCCTAAAGTGCTACTTGGCAAAAATCCCCAGATGAATCTCTTTACTTACCCCAGTAGCTTGTCCTCCCAACTACAGTAACTCTCAGATGATTAGGAGAATCTCTTCAGTTTCTAATTTTTAAAAGCTTAAAGCACTTTCCCGTTTCCATTCGCTTAAAGCCCCGCCCCGGCGCCCCGGCCCCCCCCCCACCCCCCGCGGTGTAGCAGATGTGCTCCTGAAGGTCACTCTTTCCTAATCGGAACTAAACTGTATGCAAAACATTTCTTTTTCTGAAGGGTCTTCTTTCTTAATTTAGCCCTGCCTTTCCTCTGAGCCTGCAGACTGGCCGATACTTGCTCTCCAGGTACTGAATGTGTTTAAAGAGTTAATGACGGTGGGTGGAGGGGAGCCAGTGACTGACTGTACCCTCCTCTTCCTTGTAATTATCTTAACTGCTCTGGAACAGCTGAATGAATACTGGAGACCCATAGGTCAGCTGCTAGTGTGGTGTGTGGTTCTCTGGGGCGAGGCAGAACCCAAGTTACTAATCTGGAAGCCGTCCATGAACAAATACCTTCATCATTTGTTGACCGAAGAAGTATCAGGTAATTCTTTAAATAAAGATTCATGTCCATGCTTTCAAATTGTAGGGTTGGCACCAGGAGTTCCAGCGCTCTTGGTGAATTGACAGTGTTGTTTTAATGTCCTCTGGCTTTATTCTTTGAGGCTCCAAGCCCCCCTCCCCGCCCCCCTCCCCACCCCCACCTTTTCCAGAGACCCAGCCCTAGACGCTTATCCTGGTTGTGGGGCTGTTCCTTAGAAGCCTGGAGAGCTGTAAGACTTTGCTAATTACTACCTCCTTCCACATCAGCTGTGGCTGGGGTTTGAAGTGTTGTTTTTTTTTTTTTAATGTCCCTGTTGCTTGTCTATGCTAAGTAAGCTCTATTTCCAGCTCCTTAACTTGTTTATTGCCTTTGATATATCGTAGGATTTTAGAATAGAAGGACCTTAGAGATCACCTATAACAATTCCCTTGCTTTACCATGAGCCGAAGTGACTTGCCCCAGAGGTAGTTGCTGCAGTTGTTGCAGAGCTGGGTCTCAAATCCAAGTCTTCAGATGAAATCCCTCCAGAGGCTTCCTTCCTTGGAGGCCCCTCAGTGTATTCTGCATAACACTGATCTTGGCCCTGGAAGATCTGGCTCTGAATGCTGGGGGCAACTCTAAGGTCACTTAACTTCTCCAAGCTTCATTTTCCTCTTTAACATGAGGATGATAATCTTTGCAATTTACGCTTTCTGGCCTAAAAATATTTTTTGAGTTAGAAAAATACTGTGTGAATATTTGCTTCCTCTCTGCAAAACTCCCCAGGATTCCTGGTACTTTAGGCAAATTTCCTGCATTTTAGGTAAATTTTCCAATTTCAGTAATTGCTGATTAGGTGAGAATGACTCCTGGGTTTAACTCTGTTGAGGTATTTGTATATCAAAAGAGTTACCTAGATACTTTTGGACTTTATTTCTGGCTGGGCTTAAAACCATTTGGCTATTTGCACTTCAAAAAAGATGCACTTGAATTTATTTTAATTTTTCTGTGTACTTTTTGAGGCCAACTCAGTTGCACACAATTTCTCTGACCATATTTTCTGTACTAAGAGTTGGGTTAAAGGATCTGTCAGTTGCAAAACCTTGTTAAAGGACAACTTTTTTAAAAAATGGGATTGCTCAGAAAATACTTCATTTCCTTTGGTAAACTTGATTCTAGAGGGCTTTTTAATAATTATGAATAGCAATAATAACTCACATTTACATAGGGCTCTTAAAATTTGCAAAATGCTTTCTCTTGAAAAGAAAACTAATAACTACTAGAACTTTTCTGTTTTTTAGGACTCCCCTAACCTTAAGAAGCTCTGGATTTCTCAAAGCATAGAACTGGATTGGGATTTGGTTTCTGTAATTTGTGTTAGACTATAGGCAAGTCACACCCCCTCTCTGGGCCTCATTTCCCCATCTGTAAAGTGAAGGATTTGAGTTGGATGATCTCCTAAGATTTTTTTGGCTCTGATACTCTCCATGTTGTTTTTTGTTTTTTTAATAATCAATTTTTATTTTATTTTTAATTCCAAATTCTTTCCCTCACTCTACCCTTCCCCCAACCATTGAGAAGGCAAAAAATGCAAGACCCGTTATATCTATAGTCACGCAAAACATTTGTTAGCCATTTTCTGTGTTCTAAAGTCCCTCCCCCCTCCCCCAGCTCTGATATTCTGTGACTGTTCTTTGAGCCAATTCTTAGTTGCTTCTAGACGAGATAGGATAACTGGGAAGACCAAACTGAAGGAAAAGTGTTTTTCTCTCTTTCTACAGTAGGAACTTTAAACCGTACTTCCATCCCTTTCTTTCTAAAGAGTAGATAATAGCCAGGGGCTGGTGGGAAGGGGAGTATTTGGTTAGTTGGTGCTGAAGAACTGAAACTTTCTTGATGTTATTAAAAGTGCTTTGCTTCAGTATGAAATATACTTTCAGGAAACTCGGAGCTGTGGGTTGAGAAAGATCTAGATAAGCTGGTTTCATTCATATGGTTTTTCTTTATTGGCTGCTAATTTCTTTTTAAACAAAATCTTAACTCTTGATACCTGGTTTTAAAAACTTTGACTTGGGATATACTCATTATCAACTATTTTCTGAGCATCTGCTATGTTACTTCAGCAGATTGCCCATTCTGTCTTCACCCCCACTCTCACTAATCCTCAAATCTCTCTTTGTCTAGTGGTTGCTTAACTGCTGCCTACAGACATGCTTATGTCTTCCCCAATCCTCAAGAAACCCTCACTTGAATCTGGCCTCAGACACTTGACACTTAGCTATGTGACCCTGGGCAAGTCACTTAATTCCACTGCCTAGGAAAAAAACAAAAAAAAGAAACCCTCACTTGATCAAGCCATCCCCATTAGCTATCATCCTATATCTTCTCCCCTTTTTTGGGCTAAACTCATGGAAAAGGCTGTCTATAATTGGTGCCTCCATTTCCTCTCCTCTTCCTCTCTTAACTTTCAGTAGTCTGTTTCTGAATTTATCATTCCACTGAAACTGCTCTCTGCAGAGATTCCAGTGACCTCATAATTGCCCATTCTGATGGCCTTTTCTCAATCCTCATCCTTCTAGAGTACTCTGTAGCCTTTGATATTGTTATCACCCACTTCTCCTTGATATTCTTTTCCCTCTAAGTATTTATGGCCTTGCTCTTCCCTGGTTCTCTGCCTACCAGTCTGACCACTCCTTTACTGGATCTTCATCTAGGCTACAAATTATTAAATACCATGGGTATCCCCCAAGATTTTGCTCTCTTTGGGGTCCCTCTTCTCTTTTCCCTCTGTGCTATTTTTCTTGATGATCTCATCAACTTCTATGGATTAAATTTTCATTATACTGATGATTCTCAGATTTACTTAACCAGCCCTGACCTCTAGTCTCTAATTTCCAGCTGCCTATTGGAGATCTTTAACTGTTTGTCTCCTAGATATCTTAAACTCAACATCTCAAAACAGAACTCTCTCCCCCAAACTTCCCTTTTCTTAATTTTCCTTTTACTGTCAAAGGTATGACCTTCCTTCTAGTCACCTGGGGGTTAACCTGTGTGTCATTCTTACTCCTCATTTTCCTTGTTTCCCCCTCTCCATCCAGTCTGTTGCCAAGTCTTGTAGTTTCCACTTTAACATCTCTGATAAGTATATGGTTCAGGCCCTTATCACCTCTTACCTGAACTATTGCATTGGGCTTCTGGTTGGACTTCCTGCCACAAGTGTCTCCATACTTCAGTCCATTTTTTACTCAGCTGTCAAATTGATCTTCCTAAAACACATCTGACCATTTTACCCCTTCCCTCTTCCACCCTCCATTCATTAAATTCCAATGGTTCCCTGCTAATTCCATGACCAAATATAAAATCCTTTGTTTTTAAAGCCCCTCATAGTCTGCCCCTTCTTACCTTTCCAATCCTCCTACCCCTTACTCCCCCTCCTAGTACTTTGTAATCCAGTGATGCTGGCCTCCTTGCTGTTCCTCCAACAAGACCCATCTCCCAGTTCCGGGCATTTTCTCTGGCTAGAGAATGCTGGAATTCTCTCTCCCTCCTCATCTCTGTCTCCTGATTACCCTGACTTTCTTCAGGTCTCAGCTAAGGTCTCACCTTCTGCAAGAAGCCCTTCCTGATGCTCCGTAATTCTTATGCCTTCCCTCTGTTGATTATCTTCAGTTTATCTTGTATATGTCTTGTTTGGACCTAGTTGTTTCTTTCTTTCTTTCTTTTTTTTTTTTTAAGGCAATTGGGGTTAAGTGACTTGCCCAGGGTCACACAGCTAGTAAGTGTCAAGTGTTTGGTCTGAGGCTGGATTTGAGCTCAGGTCCTCCTGACTTCAGGGCCGGTGCTCTATCCACTGCGCCACCTAGCTGCCCTTATTTTTAGTTTTCAACATTCACTTCATAAGATTTTGAGTTTTAAATTTTCTCCCCCTCCCATTTCTTAAGTGACTATGTTGTCTTCTCCATTAGATTGTGAGATCCTGGAGAGCAGCAGCTATTATTTGCATTTCTTTGTATCCACAGCCCTTATCACAGTGTCTGGTACATAGTAGGTGCTTGTTAAATGTTTGTTGATCAACTGATTGAGTCTAGAGTTAGTAGGGCTTGAATGTAACCAGGAAACCTGGGTTCAAATCTAGGCTACAGAGCTTGCAAGGTCCTTCCCTTGCCTCTGCCTATTTCTTTATCTGTCAAAAGAAGATGACAATACTTGCCTACCTGACTGGGCAGGTTTGAAGAAAGGGCTATAGAAACATGAATTGCCAGGTTCTTGGGAAGATAAGAGATGCCAAATCTTTCTGACCAGAATACCCTTAGGGGCTTAGAGGTCTCATTCTGCTTCAGGTGTGAGGTGGCACTAGGTTACTTTTCCCTCTAGTTCCAGGTCTCTGATTCTTTAATAAACAAAATCCCTCTGGGAAATGGGGAGGCTTTTGTGTGAGTGGGAACAGGAAGAGAGCTTACAGAACAATTAAAAATAAAGGAAGACTATAATGACTGCTAATTTTGTCTCCATTAGATGGTGAGTTTTGAGAGGAAAGATAGTCCAGGCAGAGAATTTAGAGCTGGAATGAGCTTCGATTTCTATAGTGTTCTCTTGTAAAGATGAGGAAACTGAGGCTCTAAGAGGTCAGTTTACATGCCCACTCTATTCTTACTACCTTGTGAGCTTGGACAAATAATTTTGTCTCTTTGGACCTTGGTTTTCTCTTCTGTAAAATGACGGGGTTGAAATAGGTGCACTGAGATTCTGTCCAGCTTGAAATTTATGGCTTTATGATTCTAAGTGTTAGAGCCAGGATTTGGTTTTATTTTTTTTTTATTTTTAGGCAGTTGGGGTTAAGTGACTTGCCTGGGGTCACACAGCTAGTAAAGTGTCAAGTGTTTGGTCTGAGACCGGATTTGAACTGTATATTTTTTTTATTTTATTTTTTTTTTTATTTTTAGGCATTTGGGGTTAAGTGACTTGCCGAGGGTCACACAGCTAGTAAGTGTCAAGTGCTTGGTTGGAGGCCAGATTTGAAC